AGATAGACTGTACTTTTATGTTGGCCAAAAGTAATTATTATTCAATATACACTATATGTAACTAATTCATAATTCTCTTTATAATTACATCTTAGTTATGTAATGATGTATTCTCTACATTAATGAGGAGAAAAATACTCTAAAATAAAAGCTTTAAATTACATCATCAACGAAGGACAAATTTCAATGCAGACATGTATTTGATCAATAAAAGAAACATATTTCATCTCAACAAAATAATTCATCTGAACTGGGAGTTGAACCTGGAACCTCAAACACCAGAAAAAGATAAACTGCCAATAAGCATCAAGAAGAAGATCAATCATCCCCAATCATTTATGATAATATCTTAAACTCTAGAAATATTGGCAATTGTCTTTTATTCAATTATAAATGGTATTTTCAAAGCTTCTACCAGAAACCCAAAAAATATGGTTACAGCACTTGATTCTCTAGTGACTTATATTTTCTCTGAACACCTGATGCCTGAACTGCATTAGTCGCCTTTCAATTATTTCCAGGCTGAGCTATTCAACCCTTTACTTTTTGTTGATGTAAACAGTTAAAATCTGTCAGATTCAGAGGGAAGTGGGGGAGGAAGTGATATGATAACCATATGGGCTTCAGCTATCATTCTCAGAATATGTTTACTTCATAATATTTCTCTCTCGGTGTCCAATATTCAGTTTTTTTTCTATAAACAGTAGAGCTTTAACTATAAGCGTATTAACGCTGTCTCCACCCGTTGATCATGCATTTTTAATTAGTAGCACCATTGTGTCAGTCTTCCATAGATGCGAACAATTTTGCAGGAGTAATAATGGTCTAATTGGGTTTATCTTCAAGTCATTGCATCTCATTCAATACTTGGTTCTGTCTATGGCACCATGGCCTCAAATACAGTAACGAATCTACAAATAAAAGCTTTGGTTGAATGAATAACTACCGAAGTATTTTATAAATGCGATGATTGTGAAAACATTGTCGAATATCTCGAGATAAAATCCCTTATGTCAAATGAGATGAGATAAGATGATAAAATAATCTGTTAGCAGATTACATTGATTTGTTTTGCTCATTCACGGTGAAGGAAAATAATATTCTTCTTAAGAGCTTAGAGTTTTTTCAAGTGGGCCCTTAATTTATAATTAAAGGATACATAGTAATGAAGAATGAAACACCTAAAAGACAAAATAACAGACAGATTTAAAGTTAGACTTCTCACATGTCCTCTTTGCTCATCTTTTTTATCATTCCCTTCCAAAAAGAAAAGTATGAATGAGTGGTAAATTTTAGCTTTAAGTCTAAACTATAAAACTGCAAGGAAATTATAAAATGGTGCGAAATACGCAAGACACCTGACGTAAATGTAAACATATTCTTTACTCAAGGGTAGTTTACACTGAATAGCACTACAAGGCTTTGCTATTATGGCTTATGGGTGATTAAACTTAGGTTACAAAAGTAATTTCCTTTAGTAAATAGTTTTCATTCAAAACCTCAAAAATAAAGCTGTCAGTCTTGGAACATCTTTTCTGGTAATTTGAACCCATTGCACTAGTTTCTCCCAAATGTGTGAAAACAGGCCTGTTGAAGTATTGAAGATAGGAGAGCAGGGCCAGGTGGTGGAAAGGGACCACAAACCCACTCTGGCAAATAGATGCAGTGATCTCCCCAGCATTAAAGCAAGTGGGCACATCAAGCACCTGATATTTTGAAAATAGGTTTGTACCCACCTGAAAATCCATTTCTACCCACTTGAAAATGAGAAGAATCATGAAAAATTGACAAATTTTGATCTGGATTGTGAATATGAGAATTTTGCACCCACCTGAGAAGAAATCCTGGGGAGATCACTAAAATGTGAAGCAACACCTGTCTTTGTGAACACCTCTTTCTAGTGAACACCTGTGTTTAGTGAACACCACTTCAAGACACATTTAACTCCTGTATAAAATCCCTTCTCTGCAATGAACATCTACCTATAATACAGTGAACACTTTTTGCAACTCTATAGGTGTTCACTTTATACACATTTCACTGTACTATGAGAACCGAGGCACCTCGACATGGTTCTAGCTAACATTATTGTCAATTTCAGATATGTCATCTGTTTTTGAATTGTAATTATTACATCATTAAGGAAACTTTTTGACAGAAATGGCATTTATTGATCCTTTAAAAAAGTTTTAATAGCATGAACCAATGGTACTTAAGGTCCAAATTGCAGATGTGTTTTCTTTAATGGCACCAGTGTCTGCCAATAATACAAATGAATATTTAGAAATGATATTGGAAGAGGTAAAATAAAGGCCTGCTTTTCACCCTAAAACCAATAAAATGCCAATAGAAGGGGCCCTAACTGTGATTTAGGGGTAACTTATGGTAGATAACTTCACGTTGGAGATACATTCCTCAGTGATTATAGTGTGGCATGGACCAAAATAACCAGAAAACATCTTGACAGAAGGCTATGTATTTTTGACATGGAATGCTTGTTAATTGTTTAGAAAAGATAGATTATGGTAACTAATGAGTGTGGATGCTCAATCTTTGGCCAAAAATGACCGAAAATGACCAACACTTAGCGATATCCTGTACAAAAACAAACAGGAGGTCTCAACTTCTGACAGAGCTCAACTTGGCCAGGTCATGTTGCTTGTCAAGTCTTCCGGCTAAATGATGATAAATCTTGAAATTTTGTTGTGGTTAACTTGTATTTAGCATTAAATGATCTGGGAAGCCATATGTAAAGCATGTCAGAGTCCAGTTGATGCATCTAAGGCTAAAGATCATCTGACTCAGAAATCTCCACGCAACAACAGAGGATGGTAATCCCACCTGTGGTACATGCATAAGTACATAGACACATAAATCCTAAACAAATACAGTCTGATTTATTCTTTATAGGCACTTAGCCATGTTGAAAGGATCAATTTCTTTCGATTATTATTTTACCTAAGTGAGTACAGTAAAAATTCAACCTGTAGTTTCACGCTTAATTAAGAGGATCGTAATACCTGGAACGCAATGGCAGTGATGATAAGGTAACGCAGTGCACAGTGCGGGGGGAAATGTAAAAAACAAACTGAAAGTTTTTCTCAATTGGAGTTCCTTGAAGTAGTGACAATGTCATTTGTATCTGTAGTACAATGAGATTAGCGTTTCTGATAGCTTTCTTACATCTAACAGCTAACATACTGAAGTGTAACATTAAGGAGATTGCCATAAGTGGCTAGCTGGCTTCATTAAGCAGATTACACCTTATATTAAAGTGATTTGGATCAATTTAAGTGATCAGGATAAGTAAAAGAGATTGCGATGACTTACAATATCAAAGAAAATGGTAAGTTCATTCAATATGTCATTGAAAACAAAAGTTCAATTTATTTTATTTTTAGTCAATTTATTGATGTGGATTGATGGAATTAATGACTACCAACGTTTTATGTCGTAAATTTTCTTAATCTTAATTGTTTTGATTTGACAACTGATCTACACATCTTGAATAAAATAACCATACATGATTTGATGATGAATTCATCTGATTTATTTTTGTTTGATTATAGCTATGGTCTGATGCCAATTATTGATTCATTTTTCTCAATCAAGTTTTTTCTTCTGATTTGTTGACACCCTCAACTAACCTTTTTTTCTTCATTATTATCAATTATAAAACATTGAAAACTCTGTCACCTAATTTTGTTTAATAAAAGAAATGTTTCACCTGTACACAACATTTCTCTGCACATGTCTTGATTTAGTTAAATCACACAATGCAGAGTTCATATCCATTGTATTAACCAAATCTACATTACTGCCACACAATTTACATTTATTCTTAACTGTTACAAATATTGCAGAATAACTATTTTCTTGAATCAAATCTCATCCTCTACTATTTACTCAGTTAAGGAAGGGTAACTAACTTGATACAAGTCTTTGATGACAACATCAAAATCTGCAATTGTAATTTTACAAAATATCAACACGGGGCTCCTCCAAGAAGGCGTTCCTGGGTCTGTCTTCGAGGATTAATTACATAATATTAAGACCCAAGAGGTGTTGCTCACCTTCATTAGTGGTAGACAAAATGGATTACAATACAAAACAGACTGATAAATGTAATTATTCAATGCATGTTCAAATTGCATGTCATAGTTATCTAACACTGATTGTTGAGTCAAACCTGGAATAATCCTTACTTAGTTTTGGAGTACAGAATTATCCTTTGTGAAATTAGAACCTTCATAACATATGTCTAAATAATAAAATTCTTCCTTATATTCGATTAGGAAAAAGTGCTATGACTGCTTAATCAATAAAAGTATAAATTGATATTGACTAATCTAGGTTAGGACCAGTAATTTATGTCCAATATAAGTACATTTATACATTATCAACATGTGTGGTTCTGAGATTTGAGATCTTTTTGTTGTTAAATAGAATGAAATAAATAGTACCTGAGCATATGTTGGATTGTAATGTAAGGAAGACTGGATCACCAGGAACTTACCTGAAAATATAAAGAAAAACGATCACATGTAATTGTATGACTTATTTGTAAACTAGAATTCAAAATAAATATAAATAAAAAATCAGTACTTTTTAATAAATCAATGCTCTATAAACATATCTGAATGTATGTTTATTGTATTAAGATCTGTGTATGCATATGATTTTATCAGTAAACTACAAGTAAAATTGTTATATTGAATGAAATACAGTATATACTTGTATAATGCTTTTTGACTTTTCTATTTCCATTGACCTTTCCCTGATGTCAAAATACATACCATCAAAAAGACCCCATGTTAACATCATGGGCTTCCAAGAGATTGTTAACATCCATAAAATGTCAGACTTTTCAGATTAATGCCACTAATATAGGTCATATTAAGAATAGTTCATATTTCATCTTGGTTTAAAATGCACATGATTTAGAGGGCTTTGTTCTGCTTTTCAAATAAATAATTTTTTATGTTTTTGTTTATTTCCAGATTTAAAACAGACAGGCCCTATAAGAGGAGGAACTACCCCAAATCCTCTAAGCACATCTGGGTACTATACAAACAGTACCAGGGAGTATGTATCAGAATGTCCCACTGAACTGACAGGACTAATTGTGGGATATGCCCTCCTTGCATTGTTCCTTCTCTCCATGTTCTACTGTGCTATGTGCTACGAACAAGGCAAGAAATCCAAGACTACAAATCAAGACATAGAAAAAGGAGAGTATGGGGGTGGGGGCTTTAATAAGCATAATACTCTCGGTGACAGCCTAACTGCTACACTTCTATCAGACAAATATTTAGATAGACGAGCAAAGGATATGCTCTGCGCCCAGAAACATTTAGATCCAAAGACAGCAGCTTTATTCAGAGCTAGTTCACACCATCGAAGCGGAAGTATTAAGTCTATAAAGAGTAGTCGAAATAACTCATTGAAAAGATCAGACAGCCGGAAAAGCCGCGGATCTATCAGATATCACCATGCTCATCGCCCCAGGAGGAACTCAAGGAATCAATACACAAATGACCCAGTTGATCCTTTTACGGAGATCACCATCGAGATTCCCCCATATACCCCACTACATAGAAACATGGTGGCCCCAAGGGCAATGGAGGAATGCTGCACCATCAGTGATGATATCTCTTTCATCTATTCAGAAGGAGATTATGGCAATGACAACACATTAGCATGTGGCGATCCCAACTTATGCTACAACTCAATAGTTGATATATGCAACAACAATGACACTTCTTATCAGCAGATTGATGAGACCTCATTCATTCTACCTAGAGAAAACTCAAATACCAATTCCAAAAAGTGCTCTAAAAATACCAATTATCAGGAGCCTGGGGTACCTTGCATTAGCGCCACTAATATATCTTCCCTTCCCAGTGGCAATATATTACTAGACAATACACGTCAATACATATCACCCAATCCAGGTTTACCAATACACCCAGGCTATTTAAAACCAAATAGGAAAGCTGTAGACAAAAGCGACAATAACACCACTGTTGATGATTCTATGCAAGAATATGCAAAGATAAACAATGCAGATCAATTAACAGATAATGTTGGTGACTTAGAATATTTAACGCCTTGGTTCAATGAACCAAGTAAGAGACATTCCAATGAAGATATGGACTCTATAGGTCACCAAAGCACTGATGGCCTAATCACTGTCAGCAGTGACCATACTGATACTGAAGATGCTGAACCTGACACTGGACCTCATATAGTTATAGATCATGTGAATAACAATTCAACAGAAACCTTTAGCTTAGATAACAACTCAGAAGGCCCAGTAATGATTCCTAAATGCTCATGTTCATTGAATCCTGATTCAGCCACAAAGTTGTCCAAACTCAGGGCTCAAGGCACAAACAGTGGCTATGGATCACTCCCTAATGTGATTGATAACAACATTACTACCTTAATTACCCTTGATGTAGACAATGTGTCTGACTCAACTCTACAAATGGGACAGACCTCACCAAGCATCAGGTGTTCTACATGTCAAGGTAGCCTCCCAAGTAGACAAGGGCTCAATTTATCATCTCCCCCTCAAAATGCACTCATCGTACCGGAAATTCATACCTCGAACAGACGGCATTCATTTGATTCAGCATGCATAGAAAATATTGCAAGACCTCGACCTAAAAGCTCTAGTTCTTTCGCTGTTGATGAGGCATTAAGAAACTTAAACCCTAAAACTGTGATTAAACTCTTTCCAGTTGATGGAATTAGAACCAATGGATTATACTCCGCCTCTCTACCAAGTATATCTGTAGACTCTGATGCCATAACGTCACCTGACATATCACAATGTGACAACACCTCCCCTGACATTTCCCAATGTGATAATACATCCCCAGACACTTCTCAGTGTGATAATGAAACATGCAGTGGGGGCAGTGACAGTGTTAATGAAAATCGTGCACTTTTGGATCCCTCATCGCATGATGAATCCCCTGAAGGCTTTATACCTTTGCAGTATCCTAATAAAAAATCGCATAAACCCAAACAAAGAACTGAATCAAAACAGAAGTTACTCTTTAATAATATTGAATAAAGGACACAACTATATCTAGTATGAAAACTTTGGGCACAATTTTAATGAATCATTGCAAAATAAATATATTGAGCACAACATAATCTTTTCTTCAGATGCAAATAGCTTTTGAATATCATTCTTTGCAAGAGCAATGTTCTAACACATCCTCAAAAAATGTTTATATGCATAATAGATTCTAGTAGAAAGCATGATATACTGCTGCAAGAAATGCCAAAAATTACTTATGAATGATTGTTTGGCTGACTGACGATAATAGGCAATGTTTAACTGTTATTATGCAACAATTTAAGCAATGAGAAAATCCTTTGTGGTTATGTTTGCACATACATGTACATAGCATGTATCAAAAATATTCTTTTTTATTTATTTTAGTTGTTTATTGTACTTTATACTGTAATTTCAGATTTAAGTTTTAAATGTAGTGTGCATTTGTTCTTTCGTTAACTGTTGTAAAATGACAAAGGTGGAGATTTACTTGGGTAGTCCTGAATCAAGTCATTGGTTACCAACCAACAATCCCCTTTATCCTCAATAATACAAACTTCAAAAGTTTAAAAAGGGGGTGGGGTTAACATAGGGACTTAATACAAGACTTAAATGTCCTCTTACTTGAAGAATGAAGACATCATAGTTGAAGAGAGCATAATATAAATAGGTAGAACAGAATGCAAAAACATTTATATTTAGGTTATTTATTGTATTGAAGCTTGAGAATAAGATATTTCCTCAAGACAAATCTTTGTTGGGAAGGCTACCCCTGCCATAAACTCTCTTAAATTAACAAAACAGAAAATCTTAATGGAAACATATTACGATACATTGGGGTTCCTATTCCTAGAGTCAAATATGCAACGTTCATACTTTTCAGCTAATTTGCGCCTCATCAAAATCATCATTTTCATTTCCCTGTTGAATTTAAGCAGTCTAAAACATTACTTTACCTTAATAGAATGTATCCAATAGGGAGGCGGAATTCAATTATAATGGACATTGGGAGAAAAACTAAGTTAAGAGTCAGATTATCTCAAGTTGAAAATATAGGGTGGCAATTAAAACAGGTAAATAGGTTTTTAGGTTAAATCCATGAATCAATCATTTTGGTTTGCACATATTACTTAATATACAAAATGTTTACAAAAGCATAATACATTGGTAAATCCTAAAAGTATACATTTTACGGCATAGAAAATGACACATTTCCCGATATATTGTGCAATAAAGGTACCCCGCAACTATGATGAATGAGAATAATAAGAATGAAAGTAAATGAAACATGTTGTTACGGAAATGATCGTAAACATCACAAAGGGGATGAGATAAAGAGTTAGATGTTTCCGCCACTGCTCAACATGAATCAATGATAGTAAAACAGCTTTGAACGTATGCACCTTGCGCTTCAATTCAGATGCAAAACATCTTATTTGTTTTTTTTATTTTTAAGTGTTATTCAAGTTTGAGTATTGTTTGTTCATAGTATACAGACTTTTTGTGTTTTTATTAAGAGTAAAATGTGAAAAATAGCATCACTTAGTGTTTAATATGATTTTTGTTATGTAATTCTGTTAGACATTCCATTGATTTTGTGTTGTAGACATGTGAGAAGTCTGTTTCAATACCCAGAGTCAGTATTTATTGATTTATGTTTTCTTTGTAAGAGATGTTTATCAAGATAAGACAATAGGTTGAGAGAACTCAGTGGTCTCTCAGTGTCTCAGCAACTTCACAATTACCTTGTAATAGTTGAAATAACTATACTGTAAAACCTGTCTAAATGGAACACCTCTGGCGCCTCTAAAAAGTATTCTACTTGGGAGGTGTTCCATTTATAGAGGTTCAATTAACGTAAGGTCAGTTGGTCGTGGGAATCTGAAAAGTGTTCTACTAACATGGGTGTTCTACTTCTAGGTGTTCCACTTTACAGGTTTCACTGTATACGCATTAAGTTGAAATTTCAATCATGACCACTAATAACAAGCCAAAAGAAGATCCTTTAAAAGCAGGACAACTCTCAAATATGAACATCCCTAAATGTCATACTTTTGTATGGTCCCAATTTTATTTTCTCCTATTGATTAGAAAACCTTGGAATTTGAACACCTGGTAATCTGAACACCTTTGACAAAGCCAAGTAGTGTTTGGGTTAGACAGGGTTTACAGACAGCATATTTCTACAATTAATAAATTCAGGGTTTTATACCCTTGATGGAAAAATCTTGGGAGAATATTGGAGCAGTTTTGAAATTTAATCATTCTTATTAGCAAATTATTAGTTCATGAATATGAATGAAAGCCACGATTATCATCATGATTACTGTATATTATAATTTATAAAAATATTGAATGCTTTTCACTGAAGGTATGCTGTAAATCTTCTTGATATGTTGTTTTGGTTTGTATACATTGTTATCTGCATTAGAAAATGAAATAATAAAGCTATGAAAGTGACAAAATGTGTGTTTTGATTATATTTATAACTATAATGGTCTTTATAATAGTATCCTAGTCTTTTAGGGCCTGAGAAAATAAAAATGCATGATTCTGGTCACGGGTGTACCAAACTGTAAACCAGCAAGACACACATCTTGATTCTCAAGGTTTCAGTTGTTCCTAAACTTTAACTCAGTGTAGCAAACAAATATAAACGATTTGAAAAATTCACAATCTCAGTTGTTAATTCACAAATATCCAGTTTTACTATAAAGAGCAAAGTATATTTGATAAATCATTTAGCTGATATGAAAACGCTCTCAACTTCTCTAATGTAGAGGCCTGTCATAATAAAGTTATGGATCAACTGTCAGGGAGAATATTTTGATCAAATACTTTCAGAATTTGAAAAATGGCATGAAATATTACTCAAGAATTTATCAAACAAATCGATCTTGAGCTCAGGCTAAGAGAGATCTCTGAATCGATCAGCTAATAAAGCTATTAATCTGATTTTTCTGACCAGATTTACAGGATAAAGGCAAATATCATCATTGATTATGAAGGATCTCAACTGAGGTTGTTTGCCTATTATAACTACTCTACTACCGAGAGGTACTTTTTTAGAGCATACTGAAAAGTTACAAGTACACGGGTCAATTGTCTGTTTTGCAATAACTGGATTCAAATTGCCGATTAAGAAGTGGTTTTTGAATCTATAACATTTCATTGTTTCAAGGTGAGGCTGTTATATGGGGGTAGGGGTGAGGGCATTATTCCCCATGCTTACATTGACCAATCAAATCCTTTTAGTTAATTCATATGATACCTCAATAGATATGGATGCCTCAATATTAATGAAAACATTAAGATGATCATCTATTCATAGAGGTTATCACTTTGATACAAGGCCATTATTTAAATGCTTTCTCTCACTGACTGGTCTTTGAAGCTGACTAAATATTTGTATTAGTGTTTGACTTTTAACATAATAACAAGGCACTAACATGCAAAATGTCACTACTTGTCATTTGTTACAGATGCCAACCACTGAACACCAACTGCTGAACAACAACCACTAAACACTAACCACCGAACACCAACCACTGAACACAGTCCACAAAAATTGGAGACTTAAACAATCTTCTGGTGGTGACATTATAGACTGTGCATACAAAAAAGAAAAATTATTTTGGAATCCATTGAAGAGAATACGGTTCTTAACACTGCATGATATATAACAAAAAATAACAAAAACAAACACTGAATCACAACAAACAGTAATGATTTACTTTTCATTTTTATTGGAAAGCCTTTGAAAAATAGCAAAAATATACAAATTGATTAATCATTAAAGTGAAAACTCAGCTTATTTATTGCGATGAACAAGCTGTCAACTTGATTCTAAGAGGATAATAATTAAGTCGACCGTCATAAGTTTATATCCGTCATAAGTCTAAATCAGGATGTAATTTTATCTTAAGAACCAATTAGAAGTATGGAATCAAATATGAAATCTATATGCGTTACTTCAGAGCTACTAACGTCATTCATTAAGTCTTTTATACTGAGAGGCTAGAAATTCTTAATCAATGTACTATTTTAGGTAAACAATGTGTTAGGATGTTGTACTGTACTACTGGGAGAAGCAATTGCTTCCGTATTTACTCAACATTAATTGTTCCAACTTGAAAAGTGTTGCATCATCACATTCCTTCATTCTAAGAACAATATAAAGTTTCTAATAATTAGCCCACTGTAATAAAATGATTCTGTTCAATAAATTCATGATTCAAGATGCCAGGCTTAATTGTGCTAATAAATGAACTGATATCAAGCGATAATCTAAATATTGTCTGATAATGCTTTTTCTGATTCATTCCTAATCTAACATAACATTTCTGTTTTCACCAAAACTACTCACTCACTTGGTGATAAACGTGGTTATGGTATATTCAATACAACTCACTTATAGGTCTAGGGACATAGCCTTGAGCCAAAAATAGGTGAGGCAAATCTAAAAAGGTGAGGCCAAATATGATCTTCTTATATACAGGACATAATTTTGGTTGAAAAAACTTCAAAAAATATATTTCTGCAAAATTCTTGTTTGGGGGGCATTTGACTCTCCTGCCTCATAGTTAGCTATACCCATATTAACTGTTATTTTAAAATAAAACTGCACTATAGGGCATTAACATGCAAAATTTCACCACCTGCCATTTGCTACAGACACTGACCATCAAATGCCAAACACCAACCGCTGAACACCATCAACAAAAAAAGTTGATGACCATAACAATAATGTCAGCAAATAACCCAGAAAAAATATTCTAATAAAAATAGGTGAAAAATCTCATGAATCTGCTGATATCGCAATCATTTTCTGACATGAATCCAAATAAGGCGTATTGTATATGTGAGGTACGAGAATAAAACATGAATGATCAGCATTTATGACATCCCAGCACGATAAGACCTTTATAGACATTATATGATAAAACCTCCCATGTTGAATGCAGATATACTGATATTGTAATCCCAAAGAAAATCTTTCAATGTTTTTTCCTATAATCTTGTCTAACACCGAGGCAGGGAAACAGATAACCAAGCATACACATTCAAAATATTTCATATGATATGATTTCAGATCACAATTTCAATTAGGAATTGTTTGTAGGGATTTGGTAATTTTCATTGACCACCTTTGAGGATTAAGATGAATTCTTGAAAGGGAAAGGCC